TTGATCCCTCTTTCCCTTACTTATACCTGGTATTAGCATTCAGCCCATACATGGATACGAATACCGACACCTAATTAATGTCTTGTCTTGTAATGCCCCCACCTGTTGCTGTGTTTTTGGTGTATTGGATGGAAATAAGCCAAGAGGGTCTAAGGCAGGGGTGGCCAAACTACGGCCCCCAGTCCGTCCTGAGTGACACCCTGTTAGCTTGCCAGCAGCGAAGTGGCCAGATTACAGAGGGTGACTCCGGTGTTGTCAGAGAATCCCTAAGCTTACCTATTAGGGGCATGAGGTATCACGTTATATTTTTGTTGAAACTCAAAATTAGTATTTCTATTAAGTTTGGTGGAGTGATTGTTATGTACTAAAAGACAGAGGTTTGTTGTGCTTGCAAACATGCATGTAAATATTTTTGTAAGTATATTCAACATTGAATTACAACACTATTTACATCAAATGATGCCTAAGTGAGCTGAATGTTATTCCTTCATTTAGCTCATACATTTCATTGTATCAAGTGGCAGAAACAATTTCTTGCCTGCTCCAGTGGGCAGGTAGTGAAAAAAGTACATTTCAGAGCCTGCCTACAATGATGGATAACATTTAACTCAGTTGATTAAACATGGCAGAACCAAAAAGATGGGCAAGTGAATGCAGAAAACTGCCACCCCTGGTCTAGGGTTTTGCTTATTTATAACCTTTAGTACCTTCACTACACATGCAGAAGGTGATTTGTGAGACAATAATACTGGGTAGTGTACTGTAGGCCTATCAGTAGCCTAGTTTGTTTGTTAAAACAGCTGCCAGCTGTTGCTGGAAACCGGGTTGATTAGAGCACCTAACCAAACTATAAATGTGCTGTAAAAACCAAAACAATGAGCTAAAAGAGGCTTAAGAGCTGGTCCAACTCCCTCTGGGTTAAAACTGCGCACACACATACACACACGCACACACACACCCACGCATTCATCTAATTGTATTTCAGTGGCTCCAGCAGAGTGTGAGTATAAATATTTGATGGGATCAGCGAGGGTGCTGAATGTGTGCTGGGACCCACTGCCTCCCCTTCAGTCCATGAGTCCAGAGAGCAGGATTGAAAACCAGCCAGTCTGACCACAAATTTCTGCTTTGGATCAATGAAGAACATTTTTACACACACTGACACACAACAACAACACACACACACACACACACACACACACACACAAGTCTGCTTGCCTTTTTTCCCAGCACTTCCATAGTCTTTCCACAGTGATTCAGATGGAGGGCAGAAGGGGGTTATCAGGCTTCACAATCACTATTGATCACAACCTAGAGAGCATTACACTCCATCCCTCTCTCTGCCTTCTTGCTTTCTCTCAACCTTTTTTTCCACATCAGCTCTGCTTCTCCTGGTGACCTTGCCCTTTTTCTACTCTCTTTTTCTCTCGCCTTCTAGCTCAGTGAACAGAAAGTGATCCTAAAACATCACACATCCAACACAGCATACCTTAGAGCTTTCTCATACACTTCTAAAAATGTTTTTTTATAGAAATTATTAATATATAGCATATATCAATATTAAGCAAAGGCTGCTAACAATCTAACATTCCATGGACTCTCTCCATGGAATGTTAGATATCCTTGCTCCCTTTAAAATTAACGCTTCAGGTTCTACAAAGAAATTGCAGAAAGTACGTTTTGAAACAAGTGTCAATACTGTTAGCATTTCTTTATTGTAAACTTAAAATTATAGCTGGGAAAATGTACAATCAACTATCACAGGGTTTTAATGTAGTAAACTTTAAAAATGGTTATAGTTTACTACATTAAAACCCTGTGATAGCCTTGTTCCCAGCTATGATATTAGGTTTGTGCTCCAGAAAGATGAGTATGTGTGGGAGGCATAGACAACAAACTAGTATGAAAACATTTAAAATTTTATAAGAATTTTATATACTGCACCAATTTCCCCACAGGGCTGGATGACCATTCTAATCTTCGAAAGGATAGCTCAGTGTTTTTTCCCTTTTCTGGGGCAGAAATATTGAGGCCATAGAATTGCGAGTATTATTCCCCATTTTCCTCCACACTCTGGAGAAAATTTATTTCCATTTCATTTTTTTTTCTTTTAATGATATTCTCAGTGAAACTAATTAAAAACATATCTGAGTCTGATATGTAACAAGGCTATAATTGTTTGTTATGATCAGTTTGAATTATTTCAACTTCTATTCTTGGAACCCATGCCTTTTCTGTTAGTTTGGTATGGTGAATGGCTTGAAATAGGCTACAACAATACTCATTTGTCACAGTTTTGGGTTTTTCATTTGTTTTATCCTTTTTTACTTTTGTAAACCCTTTCTCTTGTGTTGTAAACTTTGTGTCCTGTCTGTGTGCTCCCTGCTTGTCTGATTAAGTTCAGCTGTGTTTCGTTAGCTCCTCCTCACTAGGGTATTTAGTTGGTTTGTCCCCCTCACTCTGTGCCAGTTCATCACTGTTCCAGCCTTTTTTCCTTGTGTATCTTTCCCTGTTTTTTTCTGGATTATCTGTTTTGTTTGTTTTTTTAACCTTGAACCTCCCTGCTTTATCACCATCCTGTAAGTTTGCCCCTGTTGTGGTTTAGAATAAATAATTGAAATGCACCTGCTCTGCCTCCGGCATCTGCTGTGTTCAAAGTTTTGGCTAACATGACAGAACCTTAAGGGACGGATACCCAATGTACCTAAACAAGGCATAAAGTCCAACACAAGCAAACAAATCCAAAGTCCAACATTCAAAATTCAAAGAACAGGCAAAGTTCAAGGGAAACAGATTATAGGAAAAAAAAGCTGGACATGGCCATTGGACAAAAGACATCAATGGCGCAGTATGAGGGGAACAGACCAACTAAATACCCTAGTGAGGAGATAATGAGACACAGGTGAACTTAGTCAGGAAGCAAAGTAACAACAACACAAGAGGAACAGTTTACCAAAATAAACTTACGAACACAAAACCCATAACTGTAAGTTTGCAATAAAACACAGGGCCATAGTTTCCAAATGCATCCAAAATTGACCCAGAATCCAAAAGGAAATGTATTTTAGCTGCAGAATGTAAAGTCAGTTTTGTCAAGAGCATAGTTTTTAGCTTTTGTGATTTTGGGGTTAGCTCTGTGATTGGATATTTCTTTCTGAAATGCATTCTGGCAGTCATAGTTTTCTTGTAATGTTATGCTTTTATGTGCATAGGGTTATACTTTTTTATTAAAGAACATTATTACATTTTTAACACAGTTCATCTTTTGTTCTGATGATTCAACCAGGAGAGTTTCTTGTCCATCCATTCTGTGGATGTACTCTAACTGTGAGTCATCTAGCATCCACACTCTGGAGAAAATGAATGGGTCTTTTAACTCTGAACCAGGGCTGCCCAAAATCACTTCTCCTATATTGCTACTATAAAGTACCGGTGCTAGCCAAGGTAATAGTATGTTATGTTTCAGTGATAAAATAGAAATATCCTTGGGTCCTGGGGAGTATATCCCTACATCGCATGATGTTCCAGGGTAATACTTGTCAGTCTAAGCTTTATGATCAAAAAAGAAAGCTATGTTAGCATATTGAATTATAACATCAAAGTCCTGAGGTCCCCTCCCCTACTAGGCATTGGCAGCCTTAGCTGAGCTGTTTCACCAGTTGCCCTTTGGAGGTCACTACATCCAAATGGCCCTAAATGACATACAATAATTGAATAATTCACCCACTTTTAAAATAAACTACTCATTTCACAAGTGCATAGACATGGACATGGGAAGTAGATTTGTTTGGGGGGCTGCAGCACCAACTAAATTCAGGCATTATAAAAAAAATAACATCAATTCATAAAAACTGTAGACTTGAAGGTGAGAGAGAGCGAGCTCATGTAGAAGAGCGAGAGAGTCGGAACAAGTAATGACAGAAATGTTTCTTTGATCATGAAGCCTTATGTTCGCCTACAATTATGTGGTTTATGAGTGAAGTGTATGAATTACACTGCATAAGTTACTAGAGTCTCTGACAAACAGACAGATCCACGTTATATATGCTCATCTCCCACGTCTGTCCCACTTCATCTCCTTGGAGATCTCATGGATTAGTTTTGTGTTGTTGACTGTGAACTTGCTGTGGCTGCTTTGATATACAGAATGTTGATGTTCAAGTTTGCTGTTTGCTATAGTTTGCTATAGTAACATTCTGAGATTGTTGTAATTTGTAGTTAATAACTACTTAATACAAAATACATGAATATCATGCACCATTTAGTATGCTGTCATTATATATACTGAACTTGTGTCTGCGTCCCTGTGTTGGAAAGACTGGGATTGGCTGGGGCATTTTTTACTCTCTCTATTTCTATGGCATTGTTTATGTCAGAATTTTATAACCACCAGAAAATGAAAGGTTAAGGTCTCTTAAATAAATATATTTTTATCTGTGCAACTGTTTTCTAAAATTGATGATTTGTGATTAAAATGATGTTGTGCATTTGTGCCAACCAGCCCCATCACGGTGTTGGGTAAAGCCCCACATTTGCTCTTGAATAAGGTCCTCAGATGCTTAAGGCTGCCACTGCGAATAGGTACATTTTAGCTATGCCTAACCATTGCTGGTTAGCAAAATACCATCATACACTCAAGAGAAAAGACAGAGTTTACAGCTCACTATCTTGAGTGTTTTCACTGAAACCACAGCAGATTTGTTTGTAACCATATTGTCTAATGTGTAATGTTTAGACTTGTCCAGCCAAGTGGGCTAACAGGCTAGAGGTAGCAACAGCTGGCCTAGAGCCATCTTGCTGAGAGTTTTTTACTCTGTGTGATTAGCTGGCAGAAACTGACTGCTAATAGCTGAGATTATGGGTCTGGTACTATTTCATGCCAATGTTTACAAATGTAGCTCATAAAAATATTTTACAGTTTGGGATAAACAATCATTTTTTATATGGTTGCGTTTATGGTGGTATAACAAACATATTGAGTATTGCTCTCATCCTCCCAGGTTGGTTCCTTCTTTATGATCAACCTATGCCTCGTGGTCATCGCCACCCAGTTCTCAGAGACTAAGCAGAGGGAGCACCAGCTGATGCAGGAGCAGCGAGCACGGTGTTCGTCCTCCTCCACCCTGGCCAGTGAACCTGGGGACTGCTACGAGGAACTCTTCCAGCTGGTTTGCCACATCCTCCGCAAGGCCAGGAGACAAACTGTTGCCCTTTTCAACACATTGCGGGGGAAACCCCGCGGCTTTCGGGGCGCCGGAAGAGGTAGAGGAGCAGGAGAAGGAAGGCACAGGAATGCCAATGGAAGGGGAGGACATGAGAGGAGAGCAGTGAGGAGGCACGGTATGTAAAAATATTCAAAGACATAGTATTTAGGTGCATGCTTTATACACTGACCCTTTAATGACCTCCATTTGCTCCACTTTAGGTGCAACCTGTCCCCACCATAATAAAACTGATCATGGCTCACCCGCTGAACCTACGGCACTCAACGCCACTGAAGGCTGCCCACAGTGTGCCGCAGCCCTGTTGCTCACTGATGGGGTGGGACCAGTTCGCAGTGCAGTAAATGATGAAGCAGAGGAGGGAGCGGTGGAGGAAACGGACAGGGAGGGGGTACATTCTGGTAGTAACGAGAAGGGCAAAAAAGGCCAGGAGGGTGCAGGGAGCCATGGCGGCTGTAGTCCTAAGAAGCGATGTAATGAGCTGTGGCGCGAGACGAGGAGGAAGCTGTGGGGAATCGTGGAGAGCAAATACTTCAACCGAGGCATCATGATCGCCATCTTGATCAACACCATCAGCATGGGCATTGAGCACCACGAGCAGGTACAGAGAGCAGCAGCTCTCTTTAGTGTTGCGTAACTGTCCTTTAGAAATGCTTTTCTTGGTCTTTATGACCCACTTGTTTCATTTACTATCTTTTATTTCTGCATTATCTATCTCATTCTCACCTCTCTGTCAGACTCTACGTTATACCCGGCTGTTTGTCTGTTCTTCAATGTATTCAAATGTCCAGTATCACAGATGTGTTCTCTCATAAAGCACAACTTGTTGTCAATGAAGAAATCATGACGTACACACAGTATTCTGCAAGCTTGGCTCAACACATTCAGTAAAAGTACAAAGCAAAAGTAGCTGTTTTAAATGTTCAGATCAATATCAGTATCAATCATCTTTATTTATCTAGCCCACTTACAACATCCAAGGTTGACCAAGGTGCTTTACAGGGTAAAAGTTCAACAGAAATAGTAATTACAATGTAAAACTACAGCAATAAAACATTAAAGTACACCGCATATCATAGAATAAATGATATACAATGATAATAAAATCACCCTGGATAAGAAATTTCTTAATTTGAAGGAAAAGCCAAAGCAAAGAGATATGTTTTTAACAGTGATTTAAAGCGATCGAGAGTGATCTGATATGGAATGGCAGGTTGTTCCTCCGGTTGGGAGCAGCTACACCAAAGGCTTGATTGCTTCTGGTTTTGAGAAAACTTTTAGGCGCCTCACGGAAGAGGAGATTGGTCAATCTCAGCACTCTGGCTGGGGTGTGAACGTGAAGAAGCTCCACTAGGTGAGGCGGCAGCAATCCATTAAGACATTTAAAAGTGGGGTTTAGAAGCTAGCTCTGCTAACACAGAGTAGCATATAGCATTAGCTCCTTAGCATGAGCTTGGTCATGTCGAGCAAGGGGGAAGTGGTTTCAGCAACACGACACCTCAGCTCCACCCACGACCCGCCTCTTTGCCCATTTATGGTTATCCGGAAGTGACGCGCAGTGACGCGGTGCCAAGATGGCGACGACCAGCTCCACCCAATTCAGGCTTCAAAACTGCTCTTCAAAAACCAACGAGCAGTCTTGTGCTGACTCTGAGGAGGAACAGGTTGTCTGACAAACGATTTGAGAGACTTCTGCCCAGGGTGCGAACTATGGGGGAGCAGGGGGAGCTTAGCACCCCTTTATAAGACTCCCCTAAAAGCATTATTTTGGATATTTTGGAGAGTCTCTAAAATATTGACAGCATGATTTATTGCCATTAATTTCTATATTTCTCTATCATCATGGATCTGGACTTCATCCAGCCAGAGGGAACGATTACTGACTGTCCACAGAGGGCCGGTCGGTCCGCGATCTCTCTAGCCTTGTTCTTCTCTTGACAATTGTTGGGCTGATGTTCACAACTTTGTTGTCAGCTTTGTAGTATTAAAGAGCATAAAAGAGAGATCCTGTGTATGTACTCGTAATAATAAGGATTTGTGTTGATCTGAGCATATATGAGGTGTTTATATTGTTATTGTGCATCACAGGTGATGTTATGCAGTAATCCAAAAGTAATGTAACTAGTAGTGTAACTAGTTACGTTCAGCAGTGAATAATCTAGTAAAGTAAGGCATTACTTTTAAAAAAAGTAATGTGTAATGTGTAATACATTACCTAGTAACTACCCCAACGCAGTCAGTTGGAGGACACGTTCGACATATGCGGAGCAGATCAGTTGTTGCACTGGTAGCACTAGTCGGCGCACGGACCTGGCCGCAAATTCACAAAAAATGGGAGGCATGCAGACGTCCTCTGATGATTTGTTTGTCATGCGGACCCTAGCGACCCCTCGCGTACTCGTGGACACAGAAAGTATAATCCTTGCCTAAAACTCTTCACAAATGAGCGATTATTAGAAGCTATAGGGCAGAGGCTACCGACATCAAGCAATTCAGGGTGTCCAAACACTATGACCTCGGTCTTGTCTCAGTTTAAGTTAAGGAAGTTTAGACTTACCCATGTTTTGATGTCATTTAGACAGTCAAGCAGGGGTAGTAAGCATTATGTTTTTAAATTCAAGGGCAAATAAATTTTTATGTCGTCTGCAAAACAGTGGAAAGAGACCTCATACTTCTCAAAAATGGATGCCAGGGGCAGTATATATATGAAGAAAATATGATAGGGCCAAAGACAGAACCTTGAGGGACACCACACCACCGAGATGGACAGAGAAACTCCTATCTATTAGCTGGACTCACACGTATAACTTTTGATGTTTGTGCAAAATGTGTGTAAAGTTCAGTGGAAACAGTTAGATAGTGTTTATTGAACATCAAATAAGGCTTATAAGTAAGAAGACCTTTCTGAATAAGCAAGGTCTTTTACAGTAGTCTAAAATAAGAATTTATTAATTAGTAGGAAAATAAAAGCAACTCCAATTACACATCCTATACAGTAGATTACACGAGGAAGTTTATTCTTTTTTAAGACTTGGATTTGATCCACAAAATCCGATGACTGTAGGATTGACTCTAAATTGACAGTGCCTGTGTTCATAGTAAAAAAAAAAACCATGTCACGCAATACAACAGTGTGGCTTATTGATTTTTTAAAATAGATTTTTGACAACAATGGAGCTCTGTGGCACAGAGGTATAAGTTACATCAGGGGGTAGATAACAGGCAACACAGTGCATGTAACACTGTAAATCATTGTTGGATTTGGTCTTCATTGCATTTTTTTGTCAATCCTAAAAAAATTGGAATATTAACATACTGTTTGTAAACATTTAACAACTTTGCCAGCTGAGATGTGATTGTTTGTCTTATAACTATGAAACATTTAGTTAATAGTCATCAGTCATGTGATCTTATTCTATCAACAACTCCAAATAATGAGAACCCAATTAGAAATATTCTTAGCTTCCCAAGCTTCTACATTTAGTTGAAAGACAACAGGAACAACAATGCTTGGAGGGAGGTTGCAGCCATTAGCGATAATGTTGGAATGAATGTTGTAGCTGGTGTCTTGCTGTTTATTTAACTGTGTGTGTGTGTGTGTATGTCTGTGTGTGTGTGTTATCTTTAGATATTGCTACCCTATTAGTATGTACTAGTGAGCTAACAATGTCAATTTATAAATGGGAAAACACAGCAGTACCACAGCAGTTAAAAATAAATGATTTGCCTGATTAATACTTTGTATGAACTGCAGCCTCTTTCTCTGCCTACAGTTGAGTTAATCGACAACCATATTGCTTGCAGTAAGAATCTAGTCTCTTTAGTGTCTCTCCCTGTCACTCCATATGTCCATATTCCTTCGCAATGTAACCCTCTCTATATTTTTTCTCCAACACATCGTTCCTCCTTGCTTACCTGTCTTTTTCTCCTTCTGCCTTTATCATGCCTGTATAATGTGATTCCCCAGCTAACAGCATACAGTAGGCTGTAGATATGTCTTCACTTAGGTTAGCAGGCTATAGGAAGGGCAGAACATTGTCACACCTTCAGTGTAGATTACACTTTCCAAGATTTCCAAGCAATAAAAAATTATGCTGCGTGGTAACTGCTTTTAACTTCAGCATATTTTCTCCATTTTTTCTTCCTGTTTCCTGGTCTCTTCCTGTTGCTCTGTTTTTTACACTCTTTCTTTCTATCAATATTTTTTATAAATGGGAGGCATGCAGACGTCCTCTGATGATTTGTTTGTCATGCGGACCCTAGCGACCCCTCGCGTACTCGTGGACACAGAAAGTATAATCCTTGCCTAAAACTCTTCACAAATGAGCGATTATTAGAAGCTATAGGGCAGAGGCTACCGACATCAAGCAATTCAGGGTGTCCAAACACTATGACCTCGGTCTTGTCTCAGTTTAAGTTAAGGAAGTTTAGACTTACCCATGTTTTGATGTCATTTAGACAGTCAAGCAGGGGTAGTAAGCATTATGTTTTTAAATTCAAGGGCAAATAAATTTTTATGTCGTCTGCAAAACAGTGGAAAGAGACCTCATACTTCTCAAAAATGGATGCCAGGGGCAGTATATATATGAAGAAAATATGATAGGGCCAAAGACAGAACCTTGAGGGACACCACACCACCGAGATGGACAGAGAAACTCCTATCTATTAGCTGGACTCACACGTATAACTTTTGATGTTTGTGCAAAATGTGTGTAAAGTTCAGTGGAAACAGTTAGATAGTGTTTATTGAACATCAAATAAGGCTTATAAGTAAGAAGACCTTTCTGAATAAGCAAGGTCTTTTACAGTAGTCTAAAATAAGAATTTATTAATTAGTAGGAAAAATAAAAGCAACTCCAATTACACATCCTATACAGTAGATTACACGAGGAAGTTTATTCTTTTTTAAGACTTGGATTTGATCCACAAAATCCGATGACTGTAGGATTGACTCTAAATTGACAGTGCCTGTGTTCATAGTAAAAAAAAAAACCATGTCACGCAATACAACAGTGTGGCTTATTGATTTTTTAAAATAGATTTTTGACAACAATGGAGCTCTGTGGCACAGAGGTATAAGTTACATCAGGGGGTAGATAACAGGCAACACAGTGCATGTAACACTGTAAATCATTGTTGGATTTGGTCTTCATTGCATTTTTTTGTCAATCCTAAAAAAAATTGGAATATTAACATACTGTTTGTAAACATTTAACAACTTTGCCAGCTGAGATGTGATTGTTTGTCTTATAACTATGAAACATTTAGTTAATAGTCATCAGTCATGTGATCTTATTCTATCAACAACTCCAAATAATGAGAACCCAATTAGAAATATTCTTAGCTTCCCAAGCTTCTACATTTAGTTGAAAGACAACAGGAACAACAATGCTTGGAGGGAGGTTGCAGCCATTAGCGATAATGTTGGAATGAATGTTGTAGCTGGTGTCTTGCTGTTTATTTAACTGTGTGTGTGTGTGTGTGTATGTCTGTGTGTGTGTGTTTATCTTTAGATATTGCTACCCTATTAGTATGTACTAGTGAGCTAACAATGTCAATTTATAAATGGGAAAACACAGCAGTACCACAGCAGTTAAAAAT